GAAACGTGCTCCAAAACAAGATAGTAGTGATGATGCGTTTCCAACACATCCTGCAGCTTCATTATGTTGCGATGCCTGAGCTTTCTCATCACAGCTATTTCACGTAGCATTTGTTCCTCCATTGACTCTGCCTTGATGAGGCCCTTGTCTATGATTTTGATGGCCCAGAGACCGCCAGACGGATCAGTTGCTTTCCGAACACATGAAAAATTGCCAGTTCCTATTTTGGGACCCAGTCGATATTTCCCGATATGATCCAGGTTCATGTTCAATAAAGTGAAAAAAAAAATTTGAGCCTAAGTGTTCTTAGTACGGATTCCCCCGCGCTTCCATAGAGAAGGTATACTATAACACGCACCTATCCACACAAAGATACTAGTCGTGAAAAAACGCAAAACAAATCTACAGGAGAATAAAGACGAAAAGCAATGTGGCACCCTTCATGAAAACAAATAAAAAAGGGTAAAATATTGAATTAAATTGATTGAATAGATATCAAAACCACAACTGAAAAGATTAGTTAGTTATGGTACGTAAAGTAGTTACCTATAGTTTCTTGTACAGGTCTATTGGTGTTGATATTAAACCGTGTCATAGCAATCAAAAGGAAAGTGAGTGAATGACGCTTGCTAAAATGGAGAAGACGTCAAAATAACCATATCACCCGAAGAAATCGAAGCAATATGTCCACCACGCATTACGCATGCCCCTATTTTGCGCACGATACAGCTTTTAGCCCACAGCTCCGCATCCGCGAGCACTAAATTAATATTATTGTCAAAGCCTTTGAGAATCCCATGGACCTCTTCTTGTTCATCTAAAATGGCCACAATCTTTCGGTCTAAAAATTTTTCTAGAGATAAAATGGCCTCCTTTTTTTTGAGAATGTGTGCTGCCTCAGCTGACATGGTGCAGTGGTTAACCCCTCCTATGGTTTACCTTATGGAAAAAATGTGCGTATGAACCGCCTGTTGTTATAAAAAGTTTATTTGGTATAGTTTTTATCCCTAATCATTATGAAGATGGTATGAAAAAGGGAAAAAAATTCACATGACGATGAAGTAGATCAAAAACAGGAATGGAAAACCTCTGGACCTAGAACTATTTTTATTCAGGTTGACAGTTAGAATTCAAGATATTGAGTAAGGATTCCGAAGAATAGAAATAATAAGTTGTAGGAATGTGAATCCAAATGCTAAGTAATTTCTTTTTATTGACTGAAAGGGTAAAAAGTAAGGAATGATTTTTTTGACACAAGTGCTCCCCCCCTCATCCTCTTCTCTTACTCTATTTGTCATATCGAAAAAAATGTTACGGTGCAGTCCACTCAATTGAGCGTGGGAACTGTTCGTGATTGACAAATGGTAAATCTTGTAGATCCTTCTCGGGATGATGCTGCTCCATTTGTTGCACAGGAATAGGATGCATAAACCAGGTCTGGTCCTCTTCGAATGGTGTTTGGTCCACCTTGCCGGGAACTTGCTGCATCGGCCACAGCTTGTTGACATTATAGAGCGGAGTGGGTTCCTGGCGCACCGTAAGGTCTTTATCCAGGTATTTGGCAGTGTAGGCCAACCAGTCATCGATACAGGCGGATTCGCGAGGTGTAGCGGGAAATCGCGACGTGGTCGTGTGATATTCGTGTGGGAATTTGGACGCATTTTCCGGAAGATGTGGTAGCGTCTCTAAATTATACTTTCCTTGCTCACCAATGACCTTGGCAAGGAGCGCATCGGTCGCGGCTTGGATGCGCAGCTGCGGATTCACCATTCGACGCGGGGCCCGTGCGGTCGGTGGTATGGCAACCGTCCCCACCGTTGATAAATCCTGGACGTTGGGATTGGCAGCCTGCAGGTCGGCAAGCGTGCACTGAAGTCGTTGTGCTACGGATTCCCAAGTATCGTTTTGGAAAAGTTTTTCAGACGTGGAGAACTCTTGCTCTCGTGAGGAAACCCATGAGGTGTGAGGAACGTTTAATTCCTGGATTGATTCGTCAAAACCTGGCCTATTGCCCTCCACACGATACGTAAGTGCCGCATACCCGTTCGCTTGCTGGAGGTCCTCCACACAGCAATTTAGCAACGCTGCCGCCTCCTCCCATGTCTGAATGCGAGCGTGGCCGTCCGACCTCGCAAGAGGCAACACTTGGGGGAGAGCACCAAAGCTAGGCAATCTCCGCCTTGCATTACTGGGGATAGTGAGCGAAAGACCCTCAACAAGGTCCTCAAGGCCGTCGTTTGCCTCACGGAGTTCCTCCGCGCTACATCCGATCCTCTCCGCCACGGACTCCCAGGTATCGCCTTTTTGGACCGCTTCGACAGATAAAAATCCGACTGGTGCACTTTGCCAGTCCAGCGCAAAAGAGAACAAACGGTGGTGCTCGTGCGAGGTCGGAACGGAGGGGTCATGCTCAGTGGGAAACACCGAAGCGTCATGGACAATGTTCCGGCGGTATGTTGTGTGGAACTCACATGAGGTCTGCCGATGTAGCCAGTGACGAATACCATAGATGCGCTGCTCAAACTCGGTGCTTTGAAAAGGTAATTTCACCACGACTACGCGAAAGTATTTTCTGAACTCGTAATGTGTCGTTGACATCTCCACTTCCGTAAAGGAGGTGTCGGATGAGGAAGTCCAGAATTCTGCCATGCGAACCCACGGCTCCAAGTGCTCCACGTAAGGCCAAGAGACCTGGGGATCGTACAGGTTAGAAAACCCAGGTATTGGCACATTGCAGCGGTTTATGACGCCGACACACTGCTCCTCGAGTCGCTGTAAATCGGCTCGGACAAAATTGGCCACCTCTTCCTTGTCATAATAATCTTTGCCCCCGAAAGGTCCCTTGAGAGAAAGATTGAAGGACTCTATAATATCGGGATCAATACCGCCACTTTCAACACTTTCAAGCATGTTTCGAACCACTTTGAGTTTCTCCTCAACAATTTGCCTGCCAACATCCCTCAGAAACGCGCAAACATCCTCCGACAGCTTGCCTACATGATGGTCCCAGAAACCTTCTAATACAATACGATAGGTTACTTCAGATCCCTCAATACCACTGCTATCGTTGTTTTCAAAAGTAAAACGCCTATTACGTACCTTTGAAACTTCATATTCATACCAGTCTTCAGTGTTCCAATTAAAGGGAAAGACTAAATTATCAACCGCTATTCTCCCCGCGCATGATGGCGGTTTCTCCAACCGGCCTACATCCCACTGCCGCATCAAGGGAGTTAACACTTTGCCGTGTTGATTCTTTTCAATGATGGCACGGTCCATGATGGTCTCTAAACTCGGGGGCGATGTGGGATTACTACCGCTGGCCATCATGGTTAAATAAGCATCCCGGAATGGAAAACACTTCTGTCCCTTTCCTCTCGATTTCTTAGGATCGTAGCGAGAAAATTCCCGTAGATGCTTAATGTATTCCCTCCCCTTAGAATCAAACTCATTGAATGGACGAAAGCGATACGCATTTGCGGGAGCACTAGCACTCCAAGGGCGGAAATCACCCATATGATGTGTCATGGAGGTGCAGAGATACCAGCTATCAACATACTGGTCTTCGGGCACATCAGGGCGGCATAAATTGCCGCGTATGCTCACAGGAAACTTATCATCGACAGGATCAATGTATTCGTTAGTCTTGGTATTGTTCATGTTTTGAGGAGCATCCTTGGGTGGAGGGCCATCGAACTTTGGCATCTGTGTCGGGAAACGATACCGAGACCAATAGTATCGTGCCAATCGGTTTCGTTGCAGCATGCTTCAGTACGCACTGTAAGTGATTAGAACCACCTCCCCTCTATGAAGCTTTGGAATAAAAAAGAAATATGAAGATGATAAATTACCCGGTGGATGAAAGGGAATAGAAATTTTAAGAATGGGAAAAAAATAGTCTCAATTACTCTGAAAATAGTAAAAGATGTTACATAAACTGAAAATGTGTGGAAAATTGTATTTAAATAGTCTCACTATTCCTGATCCGTGACAAATGCTACTTTATTCTTATGTTTCTTCGGTCTTAATTTTTAAAGACGCCTGTCAAGAATAAACACTAGAGAGTTAATATAGTGTGTGTATTTTGTAGCTACTTCGTGTCTTTGTATATAAACAAGTTTTTCCTGTCGTCTATGACCCACCCATATTGGCGAATAAACTCTTCGTGTACTCGGCAACTAGAGGTATCAACGGGAACATTTAGGGCCTCCTCTTTTACAGCCTCATCTATGGATGAGAACACGGAAAACCATAAAAGGCCGTCGCACACACCCCTGATAAGGGCTACCTTCCCATTACGTATACTTTTGGTAAAATGAACAAGTTGGCCTGGTTTAAAGCCAAATTTGTCCTCCTCGATGGGCACAAAAGTCACACTCCCTCCTGACTTGCAATCTACCGTTTGGTGCATTGATTCAGTTAAGGGAAGTTATTGAAATGGAGACTGTAAGATTAGCTCTTCTATAATCAGAACCTTTGAATTACAAGTGTCAAATATTATAGAGAGAGAGATGAATAAAAATCAGTATTAGTCCTTAAGGTTAAAAAGTCGGAAAGACAATTTATTCATTCAAGTGCATTTTTATGTGTACATTCAAATTCATCAGGGAGTATTATACACTTCCTCACAATATTAAAGGTAACAGCGCACGATAATTAAATGTGAAATGCTGCGAACAATAAAATAACGCACATAGATGTAGCAACAAGGAACACAAAGAAACCCGTGTAACGTGTCGTCAGCATCACAGTCTGTACACCGTTTTCTTTCGGAAATAAACTGCGAACCAAAAGAGTATATCGCGAGTTGTTGAATTGATCTACAGACTTACTCCGCACCCATGGTGGACCCCATTTATCCCCAATTTGAAGCCGCGGTGTGATGGCGGCTGTGTAAGCAGGATGCATTCCAATTTTTGAAAGCGCTTTGCTAACCATTACAGTCGGGTCACCGTAGGACTCCCGAAACATATTGGTCGCATAATCTGGTATAGAAGACGACACGTTCAGAGAAGCATTTAGAAAATCACAGCTGAAATTCAAAGAAAAACAATACCATAACTTGTCGAGGAGATCTTTGTCAACCTTCACATCGGTGTCACTCCCCAGTATCAAACGGAGGGCGTCATTGGATGCGTCGATAATGTTTTTCACATTTAATTGCTTATGCACCAATGGCGTATCAGAAGCTGTAAAAACATGAGGATTGTTATAAAATTCGTCGTAGCGAGAAAGGGTAACGATAGTTTTGTTCAGACCAGAAAGAAGATTGTTCGCCTCAAGAAAATCGACGTAAGTGGTGACAGGGGAGGCATGAAGAAAGCTTGTTTTGGCTTTACGAATATTCATATCATGGAGTGACTTCTTAGCAGACTGAAGTGCAAAGTTCGATGCTTGGTCAATTCGCTGATCAACATGAAAATAGAGTGGTGAACCCGAATACGACAGCTGATCAAGAGCCACAATCGTGTCAAAGTTAGAGAAATTGACAGATGTAAAGTTCAAATTAGATTTATACGCTAGCTTCAGGCATGCCTCAATGCCAAGCGCCTCACATGCGAGAGCCGAAGATGCGTCCTGAATAAAACGTGCACTGCCAATGGCTCCACAGTGCTCACCAACAAAAAAAAGGTTGCTACCTCAATGTTGGGTGCCTTCCGTTTGATTGCTTCCGTTATTGCCAATGCAGCGGTTATCCCGCTTGCCGGAGAGTCCGCTCCTGGCGCGGGGAGGTTGCCAAAGGTGGCGGTTGTTAGAGGTACCATCAAGGCGATGGCCCCTTCTGCTGTCTTCGGTTCGAAGGAATGGCGGGTATCACTCCAAGACCATGAGGAGTTACCCGTTGTGGCCCAAACTGACCACCCGCCGAGCGGTTGACATGTCAGACTCGAAGAAGAAAGGCAGTCATCACGAGTGCTCATGAGGTGCATTTGATTGTGGGTTTCAAGCGCGTAGACTGGAAAATCGTAGCCTCTCTGCCACCGCTTTTCATTGAAACGAGCCTTATCAACTACATCATTCCATTGCAAACTACCTCCCGCGTAAACTAAGGTTGTTAGGTTGGAGTACTTCCAGTTGTCATATGACGGCGCACTCGATTTAACCAATGTTTTTCTTATAACGTCATCACCATTAACAACGATCGCGTCAATGGAAGGTAACCCTGGATGCGACGAAGTACGATATGCTTCGATGGCGTTAATGAGGCAGTTCAAATCGTATCGAATAGAAAGTCCGCTGTTGGTTGAAGAAGAAAAAGGCACAAGGGTGATACTTTGCCTAATGTCATAGAAACTAGTGGGAAATGGAAAATTTTTAAGAAATCTACACCACGCACTCGCCATGACTTGAGGTTCTTTTGAGCACATGCTGAAAAGCTTAGCATGATTTGTCATATCGATGGGAACTAATACGGATGTTTGTGTGGTAAACGATTTTGTGCCGCTTCCAAAATACTGAATAGGATTTGTTAATTCGGCTGTAAGACCGAGCAAATAAGCCTCATTGAGGTTTGTGTACATTTTATCGTAAAAATCTCTGTAAACCTTTCCATTCCGAATTTTTACGTCCGATCCGTGGTTTCCATCCGTAGCTGTTATGCAAATAATGCATGTCAAGTAAAATAAAAGAAATACTAAAGCAGCTTTGAAACACCGTTCACTCACTTGTGTCTGCGTAACATGCATTTATAACCCTATTTTCTACGAAATATATTAATGTTTTGAAACTAAGGAATAATAAATCAAAAATAAACTAAAGAATAATATTAGTAATATGAATGAAATAGTGGAAAAAAATAGGACAGCGTTTCATGTACCATTGTCTTATCCACTCCCCCCCCCCTCCCCT